TCAGAAAGATGAATTCTTTTATTTGATGTCACTCAATGGAAGTCCGAACTAATGAAATTCATCATGAAACATTGTCAATCACCTTCAAACGACATTGATCGATATTACCCTCCTGTATGATCAATATCAATCGACTATAGGTGGATAATATCGATCAGTTAGAGTTTTCGTTTTTATTTTTTTACATTTTCTTCTGACTAAGATATAAGAATTTGTTTTTATTATTATGTTCTTAAGATAATGAAGTTTACGTTTAATACAAAAAATAACAGTGTTTTGTGAAAATTATTGCTTTTACCGTACATTATCTCTTAAGTGATCGATATTCGACCTCCTTCCCCTATAACTACATATAATACTTTTATTCTTACTTTCATGCAATGCTGACAAACATGTTCTTCCTTTTCCGAAACTATTTGACATTTGGAACATCGAAAATCGAAAGCTGTCGGAGATTTTGGAGAGTCGTCATTTTGCAATAACTTCAGCAGCGAATCTATGTAGAAATTTTTCGGTAGAGCGTCCAATGACTTAAAACCATTCTCTAATGTTGTTTCATGTTGACATAGAGGACACCGAACGAATTTTATGTTCGGAGAAAGGCTGACTGTCGAGTTTGAATTGACTTTCAAGTTTTTCACGGTTAGGTGATTTTGCAAGCACACCAGACAAAAGGTGTGCTGGCATGGAAGCATCCGAGGGTCTCTCAGCTTTTCTAGGCATATCCCGCACTGTACTAATTCTTCTAGAGCTCCTATGGAATTTGACCTTGAAGAAAAATATTTTAAATTAATATCTATTATAAACTGATCTATTATTTAATGATTGGCATTGAGCACTTTCGCAAATGAACAAGTCGCAAGTTGACAGAGGCAGAAATCGATGAAAACTTTGGGTATAGTAGGGTTGTGATCTTCGAGAAGTAATTCCTCTGACTTTGAGTAAAAACCTGACAAACCATAAATCTTAGCGAGAACAAAAAAGTGTTCCTCCAAATAGTTAAGTTGTATGTTGATATTTTATATTATTATAATAGGTCCAAGTGCTCCAAAATTGGCAATTTCGAATTTTGTTCTGAAAATTCTGATAAAAAATATCCAAATTGATCTGAAATACATTTTTCTATGAGTTCAAAGGAACGTTTCTACTAAGAAATTATTTGGTTGTTAAACGTATAGTAAACCTTGACAAATGACACATTGAGATTTATGAATTTTTAAATACAGGGTATATACAAAAAAAAAATTCAGGAAAAAGTTGTAGAGATTAACTGACTATTATAAGAAAACAAGTATAACTGAGGCACCAATCAATCTAATAATAACACTGATGATCTTCAAACATGACTCAACCTCTGACGGAAGCACCAAACTCTAACGAAGGTTCGCAATAGATGAAGACTTCAATCTAACGGAACACTATTATAATCTTCATGCAGTCATTGTTCATTGTGGTTCTGGCGTTGAATCTGGTCATTATTATGCATTGGTCAAAGACGAAACGGACTGGTTTAATATTCAAATAAATAATTTAGATTTAAACGCATTCATAAGAGAAGGATTAAATATGTATAGTCGAAATGTTCCTTTTCACCAGGAAAACAAGTTTAGCGGGCTTAAAACCTCCCAAATTCTTCAAAAGCAAACTAAACTTCTCTGAAGAGGTGAAATACCTTGGTACTATCCTCTACACGAAGCTAACATCTAACTCTCACCTACAGACTAGAGCAAAAAGAGCATATGTGGCTTTTGAGCCATGTCGGAGGACACTGGGACGCGCACGGGGTCTTTCACTCCGTGTGGTCACCTGGATCTACACTGCAATAATAAGACCTATGTTAACGTACTGAGCAATTGCACGGGGACGGAAAGTTCTACATGCAACGGCCACAAAAATTATATCAAATACAGCGACTGGCTTGTTTAAACATTACAGGAGCCATGAGAACAACACCAACCGCAGCAATGGAATCAATTACGGGTCTGACTCCTCTGGATCTATACGTTAAGGAGGTTGCGTTAATTACCGTGAAAATTAAATCTACCTAAATCTGTACCCCAACAGTTCTTATAGTAGGTACGTAATAAAAATATATTTCTTTTTCAAGTTGAATTTACATTGTATATATTGTTAATAATAGGAATCCATGTAATAAAACTTAACAAGTTTGTATGGATCAAATAAATAAATAAATAAATAACGATTGTGCACGGCTGGTGTAAATCTCGAAGTAGGAATGGATCAATTGAGGCTGATCCTATGGCGAGAAGCGCTCACTGCGCCCAGGTTTACGTTCAATACAAATAAAACAGAACACAGAGTCAGATGCTACAAATGTAATACGCATATATACAGACGGCTCAAAAACCAAAGAAAGCTCAGGATGTGGAGTTTACTCCAGATCACTAAGCCTAAAGATTAAGTGGGGAATGGGAAAAAATACCAGCGTGGTCCAAACAGAACTGGCTGGTATCTCAATCGCCACAAAATAAATAACTAGGAAAGGAATTTCTGGCAAAACATAACAACTTGCACTGACAGCGGACAAGTCCTAGTAGCCTTGAACAGACAACGTGTTACCTCAGGGCTAGTACTAGAGTGCCACCAAGATTTAGCCAAAGCCTCGATAGATAATAACATTATCCTGAGGTGGCTTAAAGGGCACGACAGGAGTAAAGGTAATCGCATTGCCGACTCTTTAGCCAAGGCTGGACTAAGAATTTTAGGACCCAATGGCACCTACGGTCTGGTGACTTCGACAGTTGCGGAACTAGCCAAATGTTATACCCATGCTCAATCCCTAAAAAAATGGATGGAATCAAAGGATGCAATCTTGCCAGGATCACCTTGGGCGACCCTGGGAAGCTGGTGCCTAAGAAATATCTGGCGTTGACCAGGAAAAATCTACGTTTAACAATAAGATTTCTGACTGGTCACTGTCAACTAAGGAAACACCTCCATAATATGAGGTTAGTGGACACACCTCTATGCAGGATATGTGAACAGGAAGATAAAAGTGTCAGGCATGTCCTATGCGAGTGTCCAGAGTTATCGTCAATGAGAGAGTGCCGATATAAAGGAGATGTTTCCAAGTGACGTGTCCACCTTCCTGGAAAGGACAGGATGGACGATGACCTAGGAGGACAACTCCTCGGGAGGATGTACAATGGGTCACATGTAGCCTAAGTGCCGTGGGCTTACACTCACCCTTCCTACTCTACAGATAGTCGAAATGCTCTGAATAGTTATTTTCAAGCAAATATCTCAATCATTCTATTGACCTATATAAAATATAGAAAATGTATCAATTCTACATAATATGTTCGAGCTGAGCTCCACCTGATTCCACAGAAGGTTGGGTATGGTTTCTTATAAACTACAATGATTGCAACAATTCGAAAGATGAATTCGGAACCATATTCTGAAGTCTCCCAATATCGCCTTTGTTTCATTTTTCCACCCATAACGGATATTTTGCTTGTTAACTAAATTCTAGGACACCCTGTTTGTTTATCGGGAATTTCGATCAAATAGATTATTACTGACTGAAGAGAAACATAAGAGAAACATGATCTTGTTCATTCGTGGAGACTCATTATCAAATTCTGACCGTTGTTTGGTAAAGGTATATTTATATATCACTTCACCCAGATGATATCGTTATTTTTCTTACCTCGTTAACTTATTCGGAGGAGTCTTGATATGTAAATTTTGGATTCTTCCAGCCTTTTTATCGACACCAACAGATTTTTTAGCAAATTTTTTGTGTTCGCTCATAGTTACGAATATAACTCTCCGCTGTCGCTTACTTTGATGAATGTGTACCTATCTATTTATCTTTCGATTGGGTTTTGGTTTCGATGTCATAACCATATTTTATTTTAAGCAAATCTGGATCGCAGTTGATGTGAAAGCAAAAGTTCTTGTTTCTTCTGCAAGAAAAGGAAAATACAACCCCACGTACCTGAAATGGGTCAGTTACCGGAGTGTCATCTTTAAGGTTTTGTCAGGCCATTTACTTTCACCGGAATGGATTACTTTGGGCCGGTTTCCGTAACAGTTGGCAGGAAACATGAAAAACGCTATGTAGTACTATTTACCTGTATGAGCATATGAGCGATTCATCTAGAAATGGCAAATTCGCTAAATACAGACTCCGCTATCATGGCGATCAGAAGATTTATAAGTCGACGTAGCTGTCTGAGAGAAATTTACTCAGATAACGGTACGAACATGCATTCTGCCAATAGAGAATTAAGAGAAGCTGTCAAGGACATGGAAGATACTGAAATTTTAGGTTTTTTTTCCCTTAAGAACATTACATGGAAAATCATTCCACCAGCATCTCCACATATGGGAGGAAGCTGGGAGAGGTTGTTGAGGTAGGTAAACAATGTTCTCAGCATTACACTGAAAGAGAGACACCCCAAAGAAGAAGTGTTTATTACCCTGATTACGGAGGCGGAGAATATGGTAGATAGCAGACCTTCATCATACACTTCAAATGATCCTGCAGAGCCGAAAAGCCTTACGCCAAATCATTTTTTAATGCACTGTTCAAATGGAGCTGCACCACCATTGGGAAAATTTGAGGAAGTCGAAGTAAACCTGAGAAAACAGTGGAGGGTATCTCAAGCCTTAGCGGATATATTTTGGAGAAGATGGCGAAAAGAGTATTCACTTACACTGAATAAACAAATGAAGTGGTATGAGAAGGGGGACGACTACGACTTATCGGAGGACGATGTGATACTCGTCTTTGACGACATATTACAAAGGAATTTGTGGCTACTTGGGAAAATTGTAAATGTTTATAGGGGAAAGGATGATAAAATTAGAGTTGCGGACGTGAAAACAAAATCAGGAACCTATAAACGGCCAGTTACAAAGATCTGTAAATTAATGAATGATACAGGTTCTTAACGAAAATGAATTGAAGACTGTGTCAAATGCAGTGATTTCATAACGAGGAGGAGAATGTTGTTGCTTCTTATTAATTTTGTTCACTTTTGTTCACTTAGTATGTTAAAATAATTGATCATGGTTTGTTTATAAAAAAAGACGATTTTGACATTGACAATAATTTGAAAGTTATATAAAATAAAGATATTGACTTGAAACGTTTGATTCCTGGTTTATTTCGACTTTAAATCAAAGTAATTCACATCAGGACTGACTAGTCCGAACAATGTCGTTCTTTTTTTGGTCTTGACTCTCCTGGGCTCTTCCATTGGGACGATTGGGCTTTGGTTTCGATGTCATAACCATATTTTTTTAAGCAAATCTGGATCGCAGTTGATGTGATTCAACAATTCCTGTACGATACACATGCGATATTTTTTTGTCAAATTCGGCAATTTTGGAACGAAATTCACTGCTTCACGCTTAATATACAAATTTTACGAAAAATTGCATTGATTGCATTGTATGAACTAACCAAATTGCCGACATCCTCACCAACTTCTCTAATAGTGATTCGATCATTCTCCATAATAATTTTCTTCACTTTCTCAACATATACATCGGTTGTTGATGTGCTGGGGCGTCCAGAGCAAGCGTCGTCATTCACATCTTCTCGACCTTCTGTGAAAAATTGTACCGCTTGTAAACATTTTCTTTGCAATCTACCTTCCAAGGGCTCTCCTTTAATAATATAGTCAGGGAGCTAATTGTGCCAATTTGGCACAGATAAAGATACATAAGGAAAATAAACCTATAAGACCGGTTATCAATTTCACCAGAGCACCTGGTGGGTGCTCTGGTGAAATTTCTAAAATCATAGCCGACGAACTGAAAAACAAAATCAACAGGAACAACGACCACAGCATCAAAAATTCAATGGAACTCACAGACAGAATCTCTACGACAAATGTCAGTCCGAACACTAAACTGTACTCGTTCGACATAAAAAACATGTACTCCAACATACCAGTCAACGAAAGTATAAACATCATATCTGAGAACCTAAAACA